AGTCACATAGCACTGCTTCTTTAAACTTGAGCCAAAGTGACCAACAGCGTGCACGCCTCGAACAATGGAGGAAAACATGGTCTGCGAGGACATGACTCACCCTGCCCACTTGAGTAGATGGAGTTTCCACTCCATTTGCCAAAACTCAAACTATCAGCGTGTTTACAGCTGCAGATTCGACCGTCCGTCCCAGAATACACCTCCAGCTCTTCCGGAGAATCACCTGAACGGCCCCCCAACTGTCCCGAATATCAGCCAGGATGTCCTCAACTCACCTCATCACAAAGTGCCCGCACTCTTCTCTTGCAGGATTACAGCTGAATTGGAGATTTGAAGTGTTATTCCCTCTGAGCCTGACAGCTGTGGAGATGTTATTGTGTCGCAGCCATTCAGGCCTGCTGTTGCTGACTCATGGCCACAGCTCAGAAATAACAGCATGATGCTTGAGATGTCTTTTGTTTCTAGTTAGAGGATTGTGATAAGAGGATTTTCTGTTTTAGTACTTTATCTGTTCTGTCATGGTGGCAGTCATTGCCAGTTGTGAAAGAAGTATTAAGTAAAGTTAAAGTACTTAATTTAAAGTCCCACTTCAGTAAAAGTATCAATTAAATGTATTCTCAACATTAGAGGTACCGGTTATATCAAATGGACGATTTCATAATGTCATATACTGTTGATCATAGACTATTACGGCATTAATGTCTAAGCAGTGTTTGTATTGTGGCTGTTTGAAGTGGAGCTATAAACCTGATTTTGCAATACAGTGAGATTATTTCAACCAGTTTTTGATTTAAATGTTCCCAGGTGTGTGTCTGTATCTCGAAAAAAGACAGATTAATGCAGGCAATTATTAAAAGATTGATTTGCATTGAAAACAGGTCGAAATATGCCCAAATGTGCCACATTCTCACTTTTAATAAGAAAATAAGACTTGACTGGCTCTAAAATGACCAGATGAGGTGTTCTTTTCACAATGCATCATATATTGATTGTTTTGTATGGCATATAAATTTTGTGGAGTATAAAGTAGCCAGTCAGTCATCTTCTACACCCGCTTATCCATGCAGGGTCACAAGGAACTGGAGCCAATCCCAGCTAGAATAAACTAGCAATAAATAAAAATACTTAATGTAAATGTAGCTTCAGCCTGGTTCTCTTCTTAACCTGTCCCCCATTTAGAATTCAGATTTCTTTATAAATAAGCAATAAAAATCAAAAGCCGCATTTTCACCATAATGGCATACTGGGAAGAACAGGAGAACTTCTTGTCATTCATAATTGATGATGATCAATGCCCACTTCAAACCAGAGGGAAAGGCTCAGAAAAGAAAAATCTCATGTAAAATCTGAAATTGTTCCACCTTTGGCAGAAAATGTTGTTCATGTATAAACACATTATTCGTAATAGGAAGCTGATAAAAAAAAAAAAAATATATATATAATATATATATATTTTGCCTTTAACAAGAAAAACCAAATACAAAACAATACAGAGTTCCTTTTGAACGTGTCAGTTTTTACCAATTTTTTTCCAGATGTCACAGCAAACCTTGTTGGCACTGCTGCCATTTTTCACCACTAGTTTGTAGACGATAGTTATTACTTCTGTGTGTCAAAAATTGTATATCCGATTATAAGGAACTAACCTTAACAAAACTACAGGATAAAGCTGCTGAAATTACCCACCTATATTTGAATTAAATCACCCAGGAACTGTGCTGAATTGTATGGTGATTTTGGTGCAATGGCCATAGCAAACAAATTCAAATAAACATTAAAATGTATTCAAATGGGAAAACACAAAACATTAAATAAAAATAGAAAACCTCTAAATATGATGCAGTGTTTTTGCCCCCATTCACCATGAGCTGTACTCAAAGATCTGTTGACTTTCTCCAGTGGCATGTCAAGATGCTGTTCAGACAGCATGAGTATTGCACAGGTGTCCCTTAAGCTGGCCACAATAAAAGGCCACTCGAAAATGTGCAGTTTCACTGTATTGGGGGGAAACCGGTCAGTATCTGGTGTGACCACCATTTGCCTCATGCGGTGCAACAATCTCCTTCGCATAGAGTTGATCAGGTTGTTGATTGTTGGTCCACTCCTCTTCAATGTGAAGTTGCAGTCAGGTCGAGACCCCGATGAGGATGACGAGCATGCACATGAGCTTCCCTGAGACGGTCAGTTTGCGCAGAAATTCTTTGGTTGTTGCAGCAGCTGTCCGGGTGGCTGGTCTCGATCTTGTTGGTGTAGATGCTGGATGTGGCGGTCCTGGGCTGGTGTGGTTACACCTGGTCTGCAGAACGATGGTCGTTCAGACTTGGCCATGGGTGGCTGTAACGACCATGAGGACCGTTGTTACCACAGCCAGGAGCAGTAACGAACCAGCGGTATCGACAATCCTAGCTGATGATCCCAGGGGTTAAATAGCTCTCAAAAAGTAGGTGCAAAGTTATTATTGTGTTTGGGGGGCCATTTATGAGTACAGGGAGTCACAAGGATTGCGTGTGGTGAGAAACACTGAACGTAATTAACTTTATGCAAGAAGATTCCACAGGGCGCCTTACAGTTACAAAGTTAGTCAGTTTAATCACTGTTAATGATACATTAATCTGCAGGTTAGTAATCAACCAAAAGAAATTAAACATGTTCATGATCTCATTTTTTTTCTAAAATGTTTGTTGTTTATGCACAAAGGCTAATAAACACATCATGGCTATGCTACCTAGCAAACATTGTGAACGAGCTACGTTAGCTAAGATCACCACCACTACACCTTGTCATCACAAGAAAATAACGATCTGTGAGTGGCACCAGTCAAGCCGACTAAATACTTAAGTCATAAATTTTATAATATCTTCTGTCACTTTTTTAAAATGTTGACATCTCTTTGTAGCACAGAGCTCTTTGGTTAAAGCCTCAAAGTGTTCTGCAGCATATTTTCTTGCTCTGCGTGCCAGCCCCCGGAGCAGAGCTTCATCTGACAAATAAACTCTGAAAACCACGGAGAATCACTCCACTTAATGAAAATGAAAATGCCACACCAGCTGCTTAACCGTCTCGTTAATCTCTGCTGTGCTGCGAGCACCCCGAACAACAGAATTTCCCTGAGTTTGAGCCCCCGCAGGGATCTGCCAAACTCCTGCTGAGTCTGAGCTCAGGAATATGTTGTTTCTTTGCTCCAGGACAGCTGCTTCTGTGTGTGACTGAGGATTTAGTGTCAGCCCACAGAGTCAGAGAGGCTACAGTATAAACAGGGCTGCCAACTTTTCAATTGAGTCAGGAGTGAGATTCTGTATCAGTGACGTCGGAGCATTTTATGAGTAAGAGATAAGTGAGATGAAAAGCCAAGTCAATAATCATGATCATTGTTACAAGTAGACCAAAACCTAACCAGGTTATTTGGTGGCTCTTGCCCCAGTAAAGATGTTCATTTCAGATACTGTTTTCCTGCATTACAGTGAGTCATTTTGTTGCAGAAATGTGGAGTCGGGACGACAGGGACTGCTGGAAATTTGTACTCTCAGGAGAATCTGGTGGGTTAAATATATGCGCATATTTGACGACGCCTATGATGGTTAGTTTAATCATTCTGTCAGAAAAGTGGTAAATACACATCAGTAAAAACCGCCTTACTCTCTGCATTTAGTTTAGCCCAGAAACTACTGAACATCACACGCTGTGGTGTTCAATTACAGATATAAGCTTTAAAAATGGTAGATCTATGGCACATTATTTATGGCGCTGAAGCGGGCTGATAAACCACATTTGCAACTTCAATTACAACACATTAGTAATGCATCAAATGTTAAATATAAAGCCTATATCTATTTATGTATCAAGCACTCTTTATGATGAGGATCAGATTATTATTATCCCTTCTCACTGTAACTCAAAATACATGCCTGTCCTACCCCCTTTAAAAGTGTTTATAAAATAAACATTGTATAGTAACAATCTCAATTTCTTAAATGTAATGTAGGAACATAATCCTTACTTTAAATTTTAAGATGGTAAAAGACATCAATTAATAAATCAATAACGTTATCAGCGTGAGAGTGGGTTTACTTGATTACTATCCCTGCTTATGCTGGATAAGCAGGGATAGTAGCCTTGGTGGAGTTGATTCGTGTAGCAACGTTATCATTTCTAAATTAGCTTTTCACTGAAAAGGGACGTGTGGTGTGAGAGAATGTGTGCGCGAAAGTTGGCAGCCCTGAGTAACCATGAACAATATATATTAATATTAACCCTACTATCCAGTTTTCCTATTCAAATTACCACTTAAGGTGGTTAAAATCATTAGTCCTCCTCGGATTCTATTTGTTTTTAATGGCTGCACTTTCCATCAGATTTGAAATATTCTAGACACTTTTCTACAGCGAGCCTTTGCTTATGAAGTGTTTTTAAGCTTCTGATTTTAAAACTAAAATCTCCCTAAGACAGAAATATACTGGAGGCTTCACACCCTGAATTGTGACAAAGAAAGAGACTCAAACCTGATTGGTCTAGTCTCTTGGGGGAAGCGGAAACAAGTTGTGAACACAACAGTGAAATATCGTCACCTTTTATGTTAATATGGTGAACTTGTTAGCAAACAGTTGCTTATTTCCCCATCCAGCAGTTAAGGAGCAACGTGATTATTCATTTGGTGTCGTGCTTGTGTCACTTGATGAATTAAATCTAATATTCTCTCTCTATTAGGTCTCCACCAGCTCCTGAGGGAAATATCTGGCTCTTTAGCTGCTGAATGCTCCACTTTGTTCACCAGCTGGTCTGCCGTTTGCTGCTGAGCAGATCATGAATCGTGACTTTTAGTAGCTTATCTCTGTAAAAACGATGCTATGACAGCGCTGAGAGAGTGAACCAGAAGAGGAAAGTTGTGGGCCAGTCAGATAAACAATGAGTTGAAATTCACTATAAAGCTACATAAGCCGAGAGGAGCTGCAGATTCAGAGACCTCTCTCATTGACACATTTCATAAATTTTAAGATTACAGCTGCTTAAAAAAAAAAAAAATCTTTTGTATATTTGATCATCAGTCCTTACTCATTGAAGTAAAGCTGCATGTAAGGAACACAAACTATATTTCTCAGTTATCAAAATAGGATCTTAACGTTTTTGCTTATTAACTTTTTGAGGCTAAATGAGACTGAATTCACACCAAAGGTAAATCCTGTTGAACAAAAGAGGCCCATCGTCGACTTGTCACTTTATTGCTTAATTGAAGAATACATGATTTGTTAGCTGAGATCAGTTTGTTCACATTGAAAAAATAACAAAAACCTTTCTTCTTGCTTCACTGGCAGCTGTCTCCTCTGTCTGCACTGGTTTCTCAAAGTAAACAACCTGTCACAGAGTAGCGGCAGAAGCCAGAAACTTAAACTAGCCAGCAGCAAAAACAGACACAGTAACGTGTAAAACTTTGGGGATCTGACCAGAACAACAGAGAAAAGTGTCTCTTACCTGCACAGATCCTGATGAGGTGACGAGCGGCAGCTGCTGAGGCAGCAGGAGGCTGATGAGGAGATAAACTCCAGCTGAGCGCCACATACTAAAGAAAATAATCAGTTCATTATCAAACTTAAAACCCCTGTAAACCTGCCATTTAATAAATTATGTGAAATTTGCATTAGAACAGTAACTTTAGGGGTTAGGGGTAAAATCACCACATTTGATCTTTTTCAGATCTAATCTGATTGTTATTTTTAACATCTTATAGTGCAGTTTTCACAGGGCAGAAATACGTCACTAGTGCGTCACGTTTTCAGTTTTCATTAAAATAAAGTGATTTATTTGTGCTTATTGAAAACAATGTTTATAAATATAAAATATTTTTCAAAACCAGGAAATAAAATCAGATTTTAAACCACATAATACAAGATGTACGTGACAGTTTAATTGTAGCTGCTAATACTCTTTTCAGCAAAAACACTCAGACCAACAGTAAAATTCAATGGAGAACGTCAGAGAATAGTGATTCAATACTGTCTGTACAGTCTGACCTTTCAGTTATTGAAAAGGATTAAGCCCTTAAATGCACCTTGAAACCTTTCTGCCCATATTCCCTGAGGCCTAGAGAAACTTTTATGTTTTATCGAACAGTAAAGCTACTCAGGCTCTTGCTGCTCAGACCTTCTATGCTCCTTCCTGCAGACCCAACAGTTCAAACTAAAAACATCCTGTTAAACATCACCAAGTCTCTGCCATGAGCTCCCAAAATCTTATCTCTAAAGGCCATTCTCAGTCCATCTTACTGCAGAAAAAAAAACTTTTAACTCTGCTGAAATGTTAGACGTGAACACAAAAGACCCGGTAAATAAACCGTGACCTTCGGTCCAGAATTAACAAAACAAAAGCACTTAATGTGAGTTCAAGCCTCCTCTCTTTCTTCAGATTCTTTAAATCCATCTAGGCAGCACTTCTTTTACCGGTTTAAACCTTTTTCAGTCCTTTCAGTTGCACGCTGCAGAATAATCACTAGACCTCCCCTCATTTCACGGCATGTTTGCCGTTCTGGTAAAGTTTTTGCATTTCCAGCCACCTAAAGGCTCAGTGTCAGGTTTATTTCAACAGCCCCGCGGCTCTTGGCCAACACAGTCAGATTTTCCTAATAAACACGAGTCCACAGATAGAAAAGTAGGTAGAATTACAAAACTGCTTTGACAATTTTATCCCGGTGAGAACGACGCTTGAATGTGAATTAAATGTCTAAAGGCAAAAGTATTAGTAGCTGTTACACTCAAAGGCACGGTGAACACTAGGACAACCTGTTGTGACCTTGATTCTCCCTCTAATTTGTCTTCTCTTCTCTCTTGTCCCCTCTCCGCTGCCAGTTAGTGGTTTTGTGGGTTTCCACCTTGGCAGACTTGTGAGTTTGGAGTAACATGCGATGGCCTCTGCATTGCTTTTGGCTCCCTATGCTAGACGGCCACGGAGGTGGACGCCTGGCCGGGGGTAGCCATGTAGATTCTTTACCCTAACTTAACCACAAAGACGTCATATCTTTCAAACGAAGTGTATTGTCGGCTTGACTAAAAGCATCTGCAAACCCCATTCCCCACACGCTACAGAGATCGGCGTTAGGAGGGGCTGCGTCTGAAATCCTGCCCAGATTAGTGGACAGGGTTTTACCTGCTTCGCTCACTTTTTGTGCATACAGCCGAGTGCAGCACCATGAATGCCTTCAAGCAGAGACTGAAAGTTTGTGCTGTTAATTCCCATTTGGACATTTATTGGCTTTCCCCCTCTCTATGGCAGCAGGCCTTTAATCTCACCTTCGAGAGTGGCCGTTGGGAGCAGGCATAAAGTTCGACACGCACGTCATATAAATTTGTTCGTAGCTGGGCCTTGGCCCTAATGCCTTTTTTAGTGATATGGAGCATAAAACGATGACTTTTGCCTTTTTAAACCTGCCTCTTTAACTCATTCACTAACTCTAAAAACCAGACACTAATCAAACACAGAGACACATTGCCGTGACAGTATCCCTGTGATCCCTCATGTCACACAGCAGTGCTGCGAGGAGAACTAAGAGTCGGGGAGAGATGTGGAATTCATTTTTTAAGATACAGGAGAAGAGGTGCCTGTGATTGAAGCAGCGATAAACGGGTGTGAAGCATTTCCTGAAGAGATGAGTTCAAACAGAAAGAGGAGACGGAGAGTGAGAGATGGTGACTCGGGTGGCTGAGCTTCTACAGCTGCTGCTGCCAGGAAAACAGATTCCTCCCCAATGCTCTTCATGTCCCGAATACATCACAGCTGCTGCTAAAATATACCAAGCCACCGCTCCTCAGGGTGACTTTGACCTGCTCTGCCAAGATAAGAGACAGCGACATCAATAAACACCAGCTCCCAGAGACAAAAACACAACTTCAGATGTTTTCTGAGCCCCAGCTGGCTGGAGCTCGCCAGTACGACTTTATCAGGCTCGAATGACAGGAAGGGAAACTGTTTAGCTTCTACCGTCCATTCATTGACCATTTACCTCACATACTGTCTCCTAAACACATCCACTCCTGCGTGTAATTTCCCTGAATCGCTGTCAAATGTTTCCAAATTAAATGTTAATCTCATGGGAATGTTTAGCTTTCATATCAATACATCAAGCAGGTTTCTAGCCACATACCTGCTGTATCTGTGTTGCTAAAATAGATCTAGAGTAGACAGTTCTCTGTGCTCTGTACTCGCTGTCACTCTCTTATCTCTTGTGTCGTGTAAATATTTGTCAAACAGGGATAGAAATAAGAGTTTGGTTCATTTACAGGACTGGGTTTACATTCAGAAGTGTTCCTGAGGGGGAAAACATTCACATCAGCCTCCTAGTTAAAGCGGAATAAATGACTGAAATATCTCTACCACCTGATGGATTGCTTTACATTTTGTTCTGACATTCATGGTCCCTAGAGGATAAATTCTACTGACTTTGGGGGTCCTCTGACTTTTCCTCTGGTGCCACTAACAGGTGGACATTTGTGGTTTTTAGGGAAACTTCTCAGCTAACATAAAATTTTCTGTCTTCCTCACACCCCACAGCTATCAGTCAAGGTGCCCTTGACAGACTGATAAACAGGATTGGGCAGCTGTGGGCAGCCTACCAGACATGAGTCTGTCCACTGGAGTTTAGTCACTTTTTCCTCGATAAACAAAGGTAAACAGCGAGGGAGAGTATTCCTCTGCAGGTGATGAACTTTCAGTGTGAGATTTTCAGAGTGTTCAAAGGTTTCAGCGTCACCGCGTCTTCTACTCAGACAAAAATAGACCCACCGAAGTGAAGAAAAGGCTAATCAGACGTCAGCAGAACACCGCGACAAGACAACACATCAGTGACGACTATCTCAATTACCGCCGCTGTCTGTTTCTTCCTCACACACACACACACACACAGACTTCTCCCAAAGTCTCTCGCTGTGACAAAACAACTTCTCATTCAATCCTGGGATATACATAAGCTCTTTATCTGCCTCATTTTCTTAGACACAAACACACACAAACCGAGGCACACATAGACACATGCACATCCACACAGATATACAAACACATGCACAAACCCCAGCAGAGCTCAAGGTTTGACACAAAACAGCCGGAGGAGCTGTGTGGATTCTCCTGGTTGAAAACCAAAACAGCGGGGAGTCTGACACTGAACTTTACTTCACAACTCACAACTACAAATAATGACCAGGCCTCCTGCTGGAGCTGCTCACATTGGTAGAAAGACTGCCAGGTGCTGTCAAAATAAAGGCGTCAAATCACCCTAAATGAGGTGGAAAGCATTTTAAAATGTGGATGACTCATTCCGCACTTAATAAAAAGATTTCTCAATATGATGCTGCTGAAGCTTAGTGTTTTTACATTATATATGTTTTATTATTTTATCCCTTGTTGTGTATCATAGTAAAATGATGAGCATGTCCAAATCTTCGCTGCAAATGACAAATTCCATGAGGTGACATTGACCAACAGGAGCACAGAAGGCTCTTCAACTGTAAACATGGGGAAACGAAAGAGGAATGATGAGGTTAGTTAGGTGGAAAAGCTCAGAGTAATTTTTCCCCCTTTCTTTGTTTAGGCTTTTCTGAAAACAACTCAGCCAGTATCAAACACACGATACTTCAAACGCCATGGTTGGTTTTCACTGGGTCCCTAGCGCCTTATTCCCAATTACATCACAGAAAGGTGGCGGTGTATCATGTGTCTCAGTGGTGTCGCATCGAGAATTTATAATTCTAATGTGACTCAGTGGCCCTCTTAAATAAATACTGCCTACTCTAAACCTGGCATAAGGCTGTCAGACTGAGTTTAGACTGATTGACGGCAATGAATGGAAAATGTATCAACTTAAAATTTGTAATTTAAAAAAAAGTACATAGTCACATAATGTTATGTAGGTCTAATTTCACCCTCATCCTTCACCTTCTGATGGAGGCCAACAGTCATCTACAGCCCCACATCACTGTGCCAATTGATATGGGTTGATCAGAAGTTGCTTTATTTATTAGAAAACTATAAAATTTTTGTTTTATAAAAGTTTCTATATTCATGGTTTATCAGAAAATGGATTTGACACATTTTTGTTCTGATAATACTCGTTTCAGCCTCAAAAATTACATTAACAAACGTGTGTTTTTCCCCTGTTGGATGCACATTTGTAGCCGTAAGCAGGAACCTCTCAGAATGTACTGCAGTATTGTGGCACCTGTACATGCTGGTGACAAAGTTATAGAGCACTGTGAGCTCTGCTGTTTAATCTCAGCCTTTCATTATGTTGTTTCATCTTTTTCCACTTCTGACATGCCTCAGTTTCATACGCTTCAAGCTGTTACAAACTTATCAATTATTAAAAATCCTCTCGTGGACTAAAGGAAAAAAGGTTTTTTTCTGATTGATCACAACCAGTCACTCATGCGAGTTGACACTTTTCCGTTTGAACTCGTTGATGTTTTTCCCATCTAGACATTTTAAGAATTCATGGCAAGGTGCACTGAAGCCATTTGAGCCCCAAACCCAATGATGCTTTATGTTGACATTTATTCTTTCTGTTTAAACCCACAGATAACCTTCTCTCACCGTGTCATTAGCAGAACTGATATACTGATATCATTTTT